GTTGAAACAGAATGACAAATTAAAATACAATCGATACCAGTTTACAGGAAAAGCTATTAGATATGGTTTTGGAGCACACTGCGTCATGTCTAAGCGTTCCTGAATAAAACACACGCAATGTTCCCTTAGTGAAATTGTTTTTTAGTAGGGCAAGTCGTTTTAAAAATACAGTCATTTTAAATGTGTAATTTTCTTTATAAACATTCTATATGATTTTAGTATCCAGTAATAAGATATATTTGTCTTTAAAAGGATCTATAATTATTGTAATTTGTACACTTTTGTTTAATTCTTTAGGTCCCAATAGCACCATTAAGAGTATTGCTTTAAAATCCTTGTTGGTACTTAAAGAACACAATCTTCAAATAAATAATACCAATTGAATTAATCAGGTGGCGTTAAAGAACGTTGCAGAAAGTTATTGGACATAAGGGTTTGTTTATTTGTTTGTTTTAACGCCTGCTACACTTACCGCTAACCTGCCGAGGGACAGGAGTAAGGGATTAAATTAATGTATACAATTCAGTCCATATGAACTTGTTTACAAATAGAGCATTTCGAAAGATAATTGTAATACCTTACTTAATTTTAAAAAAATATAAATAATTTTTAATGTTGGTTAGACAAATTCGGTGTATTTGTTAGTGAATATGGTATCAGTTTAGATAACACATTTATAATGGTGGAATGAAACACAGCAATGCGTTCCCAAAGCTTCTTTATTCTTAACCAGTATGTAACATTACTATGCAAGAGCCTTAGAAATATGAGAAATAAGAGTTGTTTACAGCAAGGATTTTGTAAACATAAAATCAAGGTATTAACTTCATTTCAAACTTCTATCTCGTACATGTACGAAATAAACGAATAAAAAAATCATGACTTCCAATGTAGATGAAAGACAGCCATATTTGTTTGGAACGGAAAATATGATTTTTTTCTTTATAGGAATTAATTTGGCTTTTAAGATTTTCTTTCACTTTCTTATGAGTTACTAAAAATATAACTTAGTAATACAACTGGTGGAATATCACCTGATAACTCGGATTAGCTCATTTTTTAGTAGCAATTGAACTTTGTAAGTTTTTGTGTTTGTGTGTCCATTATGAATAGATCACATCAATTAATAATATATATAGATTTAGAGTTAGTAAATAAATTTATACTTTGAGTTGAATAGCCTACTTTATCTTGATTACCTTGATTTTATGTTTACAAAATCCTTGCTGTAAACAACTCTTATTTCTCATGCAAGAATTAGAAACGTTCTGCTTTTTTTTTCTAAGAAAAATCTTAATAAAGACGCCACCTTCATAATAACCTACAAATTACTTCAGTATAAAGTATTTATTACTTACTGCAGTAGGACTTTATGATATTCTGTGATTTAACACTTTTGATGTTATCCTTATTAGATGGCGGCCATATTTCCTGTCCTTGACGTTTACAGTTGTGTAGCCACCAAGTGGACACGTCATATGGGGTTTTGTCTTACGTATAGTGCTTTGTTATTGAAAACTTGGAGGTACGAATAAAACAAAATATTTATGTTAAGATAATTCGACGTCATATGGGGTTTTGTCTTACGTATAGTGCTTTGTTATTGAAAACTTGGAGGTACGAATAAAACAAAATATTTATGTTAAGAGAATTCGACTTTTCTAGGTTCAAAGTTGACGTCGTATATTGAAAAGTTGGAAATAATAGTCCATAGTAATAATTTTATTAATAAAGACAACTTTACCTAACAGACATAAAAATAACCTTAAGATTTCCCATTTACCTCTTTAGTTATGGACTGTGTATACCATACACTAGGGGTCATGAAAAGATAATGAAAATCGTATAGTATATGCTTTTTTTTTTCAGAATTACAGTTACCAAAATTTCAGAACACTTTGTCCTTTAACTTTAATTCTACTATATTGCTTCAGAAGTTTTGAAAAAATAGATAGCCTGATGTTTTATTTTTAATTTCTTAGTTTGAGACTTCCTAAGCTGTTAAATTATTTCTTCTTCAATTGTACACTGACTGGTCATTTTATCAGGGCTTCTAAGAAACAATTGTATATTATTCCATTGATTTGCGCCCGGCATAGCCAGGTGGTTAGGGCGCTCGACTCGCAATCTGAGGGTCGCGGGGTCGAATCCCCGTCACACCAAACATGCTTGCCCTTTCAGCCGTGGGGCGTTA